GATTTTTGGCACTTGAAAAATCTTATGCAATGTTATATTACGTAATATTGAACGATGTATTATTGGTATCGATACCACTAAAAATGAATTTGTAGTTGAGAAAACTTCTTATTCATAATGATTACGCCTATTATAAAATCTTTGTAATTAATTCAAGTTTGAATTTAGTGTCATACGTATCTAACGTAATTAAAACGCCAGGGTGCTTTCTAATAAAATTACTTGTTTGCATTGTTGTTTTACTTAAGCAGTGAAAAACTAAGGGATTAAGGTGTGGTGAGGCTAAAATTAGGTTTGCAATAAAAATTGCAATTATAAAAATATTGTGTCGTGTTATAACGAATTTAACACTACAACTTTAAAATTTCTATCCCGGCGCATCCACCAAAGTTAAACTAATTATAAAGTGTTCTACTACTTTGTATGGGATTTCTGCTATAATTTATCTTAGTTAAATGTTTTTTGAAGTATATTACATTACCGTAGACACGTTTAGAACATACGAGAATTTTGTAATGTATTAGTAAAAATCGTTTATTTCTCAGACTTTTGTGACTCAAGACCGTGGAATATAAAATAGACGGTTCGAATATTCATGTGCAGTTCTTTCACTTTATTGTTATCCTCACTGCTTGTATTGTTTCTGTTATGAATAGAGTGTCAAACACTCATTTAAACAGTGTATGCAATTTTTTCTGCAATTTCCTAATGCATGGAAAAATATGTGTTTATATTATAAGGGGTAATTATGTTGAAAAGACAGACATTTAAACAGATGAGAAAGTCTTCATAAGATTTGGAGCGAATTTTTTGGTACAGCTATGGAAACTCTATTCCATTTAAAACGTCAATATTTAGATTGATGCGGTTTGAATAAAGAATTTAATTTATAATGATCGATTTAAAGGAATGGGAAGCAAACGGAGGTCTTAAGAAAGTTATTTTTGTAAACCATTATCGAGTTGTTGTTTTTAACTGAAAAAAAAAGTGTATTTCTACCACTGAATTAAAATGTGTTGACCAACAAGTACTTCTAATTAAACACAAATGTAATGATTTAAATAATTAAAACAACGAGAAAATTAAAAATTATTCTTACCATCCACATACCAAAAATTAAATAAATTACATAAAATATTTTACTATTACTTTTTAGTGATTGTTTTTTCCAAATAAAGCAATTTATTTTGAGAGCAATGTGCAAGAGACATCTACTAGCTAAAAGCTGAAGCTTTATTTTACCGTGTTCTAACATAAAAGGGTTTTCTAAAACACAGAAAAGGTACCTTTTTTATAAAGATTACTTTTTAAAAATCAATGTAAGTATTTTTGAGTCTTTTGTGTCTCGTCTGTTTTATATACTAAATGTAATAAAAAATGTTTATTGTGCATACGAAGTCTGTATGGTTTTTGAAAAGAATTAAATCATAATAAAAAAAATTGTACAAAAAAACTATTTTCCCAATATCTGTTAGTAAATAAAGTAACATGACACTAAATTGCTCTCATTTATATTATGGTTCTTCTCTCTAATGAACGACCATAATAGATTATAATGTGTTATAAGCATGTATTTCACATTTCATAATAATTATTTAATAACAGGTCAGAATATACGTGCATTAATAATTCTTTCTGATGTGAGAACAACACAAATGAAAATTTACGATAGAAAGTACACAATTGTCTAATGGTTTTATGCGCGATTGAAAACTATTAATTTTTTTAAATCGTATTATAAATTTTCAAAAACTGAATACTTAAATGTGGGGTGAATTACATTTTACGTTAACTTTGATGTTGACAGCACATGAAAGCTTAAGTAACTTTTGTTATGAAAAACATATTTCTATTTTTATAAAATATTCAGTCTCCAGAGGCAATTTCAGGCGTTTTTCGTTTTCGACCGGTTTTTGTGTTCCATTTATTCAACATTAATAATGGATTAAGCATGGCCAAAATTACGTGACCACTTATCTTTCTACTTGTTTATTAATATTATTTAATTTTTTATCACTAGTAATAAAAATGGAGTATTTTTAAACTTCTTTTTCTTGATCTGAATTGAGAAATTGATCTAAAAGAGACAGAGTAAACAAACATTGGTAAAGCTGTCTAAACGAAAATCCGCGGGGAACAATTTTGTGTAACCATTAGTGTTTCTCTCCCTAAATTGTGAAACAGCAACGAGAATTTTCTTTTTGCTCACTAACTCAGATTTTGTGTTTTCATTTCGTTTGTGTGAAGTTAAGCAACGCGTTTTTGCGAAGGGTTGTTCTTAATTGGAAGGGCTTTACACACAGTAAACAAAAAATATTTTACATTATTCTGTTATCGATTTTACGTACAAAATATTCACAAAAGCTGGAAAACATTTTAAATATGCTATAAATGTTTTATTATAATTTAATGACATTACAAATATGTTGCAACAAAGAATTCAATTATTTTATATTTCACTGATTAATTGAAATATTCTACATTTAGTCTGACATGCTTTCATTTGAGTGCATTGAATCAGACAGATTTCAACTGACCGCTCTGCTGCTTTTCTAAGAAACGAATTTCAGGAGGATTATCCTATGTGTCCTGTACTCCTTTGCATTTCGATTCAGCTTTGTGTGTCTATTTTAGAATTGTTTAGCTGTTTACACATAGCAAAAACGTTCTTAAAATTAATTCCAACTGTAAAAACATGAAATAAAAAGCATTGAAAATTTAATATGCCCTTGTAACTTTTCAAGCACAATCACGGCGAGTAAAGCTTTATCAGCAAAACTTCCTTCATATTTATTGGTCTGCATTTGAAATTGGATAGGAGGAAGCCGAAGATTTGTAAAGTTAAGACTGCTTCATTTCATTCCATTATCAAACTGAATTAAGGGGAAGGTGGGAATGCCTAATTAAGAATAATAATAAGAAGATTGAATTTTTTTGCTAATCGAAAGAGGGAGAAATTAATTTTGTTATCTTTGCTTTGCTTTGTTTTTCAGTATTGTTTGCATTTTTAGTGAATTTGACACTTTATAAATTAATCCAACAATCGGAGCTGTCGTGGAATGAAAGATGTTGGTTTTGATTCAGTTTTAAATTCAGAGAGAGATTTAATTAATTAAACTGGTTAGCAGATTTATTTGCTTTGTATTTGGATTAATTGAAAAAAGAGTTATTAGTAATTTAATGATTCGATAATCTACAAAAAATTAAGACAGTGTGGGCTCAAAATATTATTAAATTCTGTAAATGGAGACAAAAAAGGATAATCGAAGGAATAAGTAGTTTAAACACATAACTCATCTGTACAGGATTTTGCTGAGGGATTCTAAGTTTAAAGCCGCCGAGTTGGTGAAATTGCCTAATGATGAAGAAAATCGTTGCTCTTAATACTTCCGATTTCTGCTTTATATCTGGATATAATAACATCCTCGAATGTTTGAGACTGCACATCTGTTAGATATAACTTCAATAATTTATCCTTTGCTAACGTTCAAATAATCGAAACCATTCACATTACAATGAAGAGGGAATGTGCTAAATTGTTAACCGAAATTACGTAATACTGAATACATTCCTTTAAAATTGATCTGTTGACATATGCTCCCATTCATAAATAGTCACCCACGGGAATTTACCAAACATTAGGACACACGAGATAAGAGCAGTAAAAGCGCTACATCTAAATTCTTCGAAAAATTTGTCATTTCCTTCACTTTCTTGGGTCATTAGTCACATTTCCGGTTTATTGTCCAGGGAGTTCAGCTGGTCGCCACTACGGAATCAATAAAATATCTAAAAAATCAAAATGATGTTTCGTCAAATATTAAAGCTTGAGTTGCAGCGTTGAGCCCTTTTTGCTCAATTTCGGTATATTAAACAAAAACGAAGTTTGACCTATTGATTTCTGGTTAATCCTGCTGAAAGATGTTTCTGAAATACGTAACCGCCTTATTTATTTAGTAGAGCCAAAGCATTGAAGGCCTGAAGCATCGCAGGAGGCGGACTCAACTCCAATTCCATTCAACTCTTAATAGCAAAATTTATCTGCCAAAACCATTGGTAAAATACATAAGACGGATTGTAAACGGACTATACGCCAGGGAATACAAAAAGAGGAATTACTAATCAAGTGGAAATTTACACAGCTTTACCTCAAATATTCTATAAGCGATAGGTATTTACTGTAAACACATTTTAGAATTATTTTGAAATACAAAATACAAACAGAACACTTTCAAAGGAATTTGTGGTAACGGAAAATATGTCATTAATTTTCTCCGTCTATTTTATTTATAATATAGAAAAAAAAATAACAAACGCAGTTTTGTTACGAATTATCTTAATATGGGTTAAACATCCATTAGTGATGATTAGTTTGTAGTTAAATCAGGATTTATCCGCAAAGAAACTGTTTACACTGTTGGTTTTTTATAGGAAGAATCAATTGTTATCGAACAATGGGTATAATTTAATTATACTTCGGCTTTTCTATCACAAAGGATATATCTAATCACTTAATTAAACTGTTGATGCTATTGTTGCATTAAAATAATAGATTTTTCTTCGAGATTTTTATTTTTAGGAACAAATTGTTTGATACACGACACCAAATGTTTGGGTAATGATTTGTAATGAGCGTGTTAAAAAGTCATTAAATTGTAATCAAAGTGTTTTATGGCTGTGGAAACCAACAGACAAGTTGAAATATTTATTCTAATAAAATAATTATTGTTGTGTATTATCAGGTATTAAATGCAAATTAGACAATGACACTGTTCAAAGTTTCAAACACAAAAAAAAGAATATTTAATAAAATTTCAAACTTTGATAGATTGCAATAAGTTCAGAATTGTACATTTTGATTCAAAAATTTTTAACAGTTTTTTGCTCCAAATCTAAATTATATAAAATTTTGGGAGACTTTATAATTGATATTTAATATAACTAAAGACTGGTGATAACTAAATAACAGCGTTAATGAGGTAGTGGTGTGCACGAATGGTAATTTCAAACAATTTATTTAATAGCAACTAAAACGTTTTCCAATATCTTGATGACATTCTCAAGCAGATTTTAAAAGTGAAGGTTTGCTTTTATAGAGCTGTGAAAGCATCATTATGGGGACAAAATTGTTTCTATTTTTTGCACGTAAGTCTTTTTTTAATTTAGATGATTGATTACTTAATTACTAACAAATTAAAGTTAATTTCGTTGCCCAAATTTTTGCTTCTCCTGCATCAGATGGCTGGAACTGGGAAGAAGTAGATCCTTATTTTTCTACTACGGAAAAACCTTCCACAACTCTTAGACCAACATCTACAACAGGAAATCAAAACCCATCAACTACTTCTATTCCAAATCCATCAACCACTTCCAGTCCAAACCCATCAACCACTTCACTTCCAATCCCTTCAACTACCCCTAGTCGCACATATCGTAAATGTGTTAAACGATGTCCTTCTTTAAGTACCTATGACCCTGTTTGTGGTACCGACAATATGAACTATGATCATGAAAGTAAACTGTATTGCGCCAAAAAATGTGGCAGGAGTAAGTCTGTATCTCAAAATTTGCAATTTTTATGTAAATTAAAATAATTTTTAGTGGTTGATAAGTTACACGATGGAATTTGTACACCTCCAGTAACTTCAACAATGACTACCACAAGTGCAACTCAATCTTTTGGAACTTTAAACTCTTCGTGTTTTAAACGATGCCCCAAAACAACCGAGTACAACCCTGTATGTGGCACTAATAACGTGACTTATGATAACCCAAGTCGATTTAAATGTGCCCAAATGTGTGGAATTAGTAAGTTTTTATTCCCAATGTGAGTATATAAAAAAAAAACATTTTTAGATGCTGAAATACGTAACAATGGACCTTGTTCGTCAAAACCTCAGCCAACTACAATTCGGCCAGCAACAACAAAAGCAACAACTCTTCCTCCAAACTTTCGAGCTTGCATAAGACAGTGTATTGTCTCCAATGACTACAAACCGGTGTGTGCATCAGATGGGTCCACGTACAATAATGAGAGTGAAATAATGTGCGATATTTCGTGTGGACGAAGTAAGTAATTTTTACTAAGGCTGGTAACAATATATATTATCTACACATTTTGTTTTTCAGAAGTTGAAATGGTGCGAAATGGGCCTTGTTAAAACGTTAGTTGACTCTTATAAAATTGTGCATTTTTTATAAATAATATGATGTTTGGTTGTGACTTTAAATCGTTTAAAATAACAATTTATTGAAACAAGAAAAAAAATTATTTGTTCATCTTTTATAGAAAAAAAAAAACAGTTTGAATTTAGTGGCTATTGCTACAGGTGACTTAATTTTGAAATGAGCACCAAATTTTAATTTTTACTCAAAATTTTAATTTGGAAACTCTGCTTTTTATACATTTTTAATTTGTAAAGTCTGTTTTTTTAAATGGAAATGCCAAACGTCAACTCAAAAAATCGTTTAAGAAAATTTAGAGACGAAACACCAAAAAAGAAACAAATTCGTTACACTGACAGTTTTTTGAAATTTGGAAACGAATAGTTCGCAAGCAGGAAGTTAGAAAAGGGCCTGTTAAAGTATAGACGCAATTTGTAATGCAGGTTTCCTAAACATTCTTAATTTTTAAAAAGAACCTCGGAAAGAACGCAATTAAATTAGTGTCTTGTGCATCGTTTTTGAGGAACGAGTTGAAAAAGTAACAATTTTGAAACTAAAGCTGAAGAAGAATTTATAAAATGCATCAACTTTGAGCTCATTTTAATAAATTACACAAAATTTATTGCTAATCATCATACCTACTTGTATCTATTGCTAAATAGCTTTTTTCTGTATATACATCCTTTTTCTTCAAAGTTTTTTTTTAACAAGAATCTCATTTTTGTCCACAACATTATACTTACTTGCGGTGTGTTTCTGTCAAAATTATTAGCATTGAATTCTGTCTTTAGACCTTAGGTAATGATGTTTGTCCTCAGGTATTCAATTATAGCGCTTTCAAAGAGCAAACAGGCACACAAGATTAATAAAAGTCAAAATTTTGACATCTCAATTTGAAAACATAACCATAATTTTTTAACAAAATTTCTAGGGACAAAAACAAAGAGCAAACAAAATTTGTGGCTATGGAGACAAGCTGCTACCAATTTTTTCACCAAAATTTTGACTTGGTAATTTCCATTTAAAAAAAACAGACTTTAGTTACTCATTAAATGTATTGTTAATTCTTAAAGATGTTTGCTTTGATATAAACAGAAAAAGAATTCTTTTATAAATACAACTCCTGTTGTATTGTAGGTTTTTGTGAGAATATATTTGTTGAAATTCCTGGGTATAAAATGACGAGTTAAAAAAATTTGGAATTCTTTCTTTCGTTTTTCGTCTACTTTGCTTGAATGTGTGGGTTATTACTGCATAACAGAGTGCGTAACGTAACACAAAACCACCCTTGCGAAAGCGAATTCCTATTTGGAGCGTAAAATTTGTGCGAATTTCCTGTGTGTTTATCTCGAAAATCTATTAAAGGAGATCAATAAAACGCAAATATAATATTCAAACGTGTCAAACAGATATTTACAAAAACAATACAAGCTCCGAGTTTTGCCAGTGTTCTGGTTTTCGGATCGGCAGTCCTGCGAGCTTTTAGAAGAGCGCAGGCCAGGCGCGAGGTATAAAGCTCAACCCGCAGGAAACGGCGCACACCTTCATTTGTGTTCCTGCTGTGCTACTTGTGCGTCCATCTGCCCGACTTGGAGCTAACGTCTTAAACACTAGTGAACTATCGGTAAGTACAAAGTTTCAAAGGAGCTTTTGTTTATTTTCCACCGGAAACGAGCTTTCGAGTAAACTCCGGAAAAGTAAATTTCGTCGATGCTTGCAGGAAACTTTTGTCATTTTAGTCAAAGTGAAACAAGACTTGAAAAATTTAATTGGGTTTTTAATCACTTGATTTGGTTTTCTCCAACTTTGTTGAAACTCGATAAAATCAATAAAAAAGTCTGTTTAATTTTTAACCAGTTTAATTAAAAAGTAAAAAGGCAACTTTTTTGAATGAGTGAAGTTGAAATGATGCTTTTACGGTTGCAAATTAAAGATGGACATCACAGGAAAAATCATTTCTTTCGTTTTATGTTATTGAAAAATATTTATTGCAACCCTGAATAGAATTCTAAAATATGAATGCATTTAATATTTTCAAGCTCTTACGACACTTTTATCGTAAAATTTTTACTACATATTTTCAAAGCAGTAAAAGGAAAATTCTTAACCCCTTATGCGTTTTAATATTTCAAGATAGAATTTTAAAATGATACGCAGATAGTTGCCATTAAATCTTGTTCAAATATAAATATTATATTACTTAAAAAGTTGTACAAATTTGTGGCGCTAGTAAATAAGACAATAGAAACTTGATTGTAATCTAAATGCCTGTTACTTAAACACTCGGGGTTAATTAAAAGCGGACGTATTGAAGGATTTACTATAAAGTTGATGTTTAATTAAGTTATTTATTTTAGGATATTTTCCTTGAATTGCGTAAAAGTAACGCATAATCAAGTTTAAATTTTATCAAACATTGAAAAAAATATTTAAAAACATTTTGTGTGATTGAATTGCTTTCTCAATTTATTTTTATTACAAAATCAACTAGTTTGTAAAACAACAAGAAGTCATGTCATTTGTATGTAGCCTATAAGAGTGGTAAACTTTAATTTAAAACTTTGCAAGTTTAAATTTTATGCTTGAAAAATGTTTGTTAAATGCCTGCATTAATTTTCACATGTAAGTAACTTCAGGGAAGCTTGAGTACTTTAAGCCCCTAATGAAGCTTATTTTACAAAATTATTCTCTTCTCGTCATAGAGTAACATCTATATTAAAGGCATTATTAATGTCGTAGAGGCGATATCGAAAATGATATTCCAAAGAGTGATATCGAACCTATAATCTTCTCTTTTGATCTTTTAAGTGGAAAAAGTTAAACACTTCATTAATTTTTGCGACCATATATTGTATTTTTACATTTTTTATAAAAGCAATTTTTCTTAATGCACATTTTGCATGCTAATGCATAATGTCTACGTGCAGGTAGCCATCACATCGTATATCATCCTAACTATTTTATTTTTACAATTTTTCTATTTTACTAAAGCAATTCGTTTTGCATACCTGACTTATCGTTCACTTTACTCTTGATTAAACCGTGAAAAAAAATTAGCAAAATGTCAATAACAAGAACTTGTGCCAACTTATTCTATTCAGACAGCGCACATTAGCGAATACTAATAGAGTTGCAATTTTAGGAGCAAATGTGTCTAAATTATTTATCATTCTACTGTATTTGCAACTGTTTCGATGGACACATAAATTATTTATTAATAGACGGTTCGTAACGTTATGGTTTGTAAAACTGTTTGATGTTTGAAGGTGACAAAACAAATATAGATTATCAATATTTTCTCTTGTCAATTAAGGGTTGTGTGATAAGCTTTTTTTTCTAACAAAAAGTTGTTAATGGTATATACACAAAAGATAAATTATTTAATGGATTGCTAGGTATTAAATAAAAATCAGTTTTCCGTCGTCTAGCCTATAAATATGCAAAATAGGGTTCTAACAGAAATCAATAACTAATAACCGAAGCAAAAGGGTTCTGTCGAAATAATATATTAGCGTTATCTATCACTAATGTAATTAAGTTTCTAATTTGAGAAAAAACTACTACGTTTTATCTGACCTCTTTACTTGCTGCTCACATAACAATTCATACTCTTGGGAATCTTCAGGATATGCAACTATCTCCTAGTCATAAAAGACTTCTTTTATAACTTCCGTCTGCATTGGCCGTTGTATTTTACTCTTATCTTAGCTTAAGATGGAAAATGTCAAGTCGATGACTGAACCCTTCTCTCCTGACTTATCTGATCATCTTTCTATAAGACGAATCCTATAAAACGATTTAGTTTATATACCAAATATCATAAAAGACAATTGCACAGTAAGCTGGTCATTTGTCGCGTAATGACATTTTCTTGCCTGCAAGACTCGAGAAATGCAAATCTGCTTATAAGACCTTCGAAGCGCGGATGTCTTCAGGGAAAAAGGATAATCCTCCGAACTGCTATAATCACTGCTCTAGTTTGAAGTGATTTGTAGGGATGAACACTTGGAAGCAAATGTCGCTTCTATTGACATTTATGATTAACTGATAACATCTAAATAGTTTTCTAGAACTATAATAATATAAATATAATAATAGGTTTAAAAAGTGATAAATGAGCTTATTTTTACTGTTTTTGCTAAATAAGTGCTTTCATAGTTCAAATATTTATTGATTTAATTGCTGACATGATTTACCGAGAGGCAAATAATTTGTTTAACTGACTTTTTTTTTAGAATAAGAGCTTTCCAATTAAAATATTCTCCAAGTTTAGAAAATGATAATTCTTTATGAGTCGTTCTTTTTATTGTAACTAATTAGTTTTTTTCTAAAATCGTTCGAAAATTATAATCGTTTCTAAAATTGACAAAACAGTCGGAAATTGTCTAAATTGACTAAAGTTATTTATTTTTTACACTTCTATGGATATTAAACCTCATATTTGTGAAAAAAAAAACTTTAGTACCTCGTTATGCAAATGCTATTACAAATAAGTCCTGTTATGTCGAAAGAAAAATAATTTTTCTGGAAGAGTTTTTATAAAGGCTTTCCAATTAGTTAGAAATTTAGGGAAATTTTTATGTGTTTGAACTCAGTCTAACAAATATACAAACGCACTCTTGTGTAGAAAAATGATCGAAAAGACGACAAAAGCTTCTTTGTCTCATTGTAGATACAAAAGCTCGTGTAATATTTGCATATATTTAAGGATTTAGCAATTTATTTTCTATAGATTTTCCAACGGTATGTAGGTAGATAAGATTTAAAAAAGATTCATTAAATACTTTAGAATTACCAAAAAATACACACAGAGAGTGTGGTAGCTATGTAATTAAATAATGTATAATTAAAAATACTCTGCTCTAACTACTAAGAGAGTTACAACTTTAAATTCAAATTTGCTTTGTAACTGACTAGTAATAAATTAGTGATTAATCAATTTTCTGACACATATTTATAAAAATAAAACCACCTAAAGGTTGTTCCTATGCTAATATTACCAACAATGTTTACAAAATATTGTTTTAACAATTATTAAATATTTTTCATTTTTTTTTAATTATAATATTATCGCTTGACTAATACTGGTTACAAAATTCAAGAGTAAGAAATTATGTGTAAAAGTGTCAGGAAACTTATAAATGATAAATAATAACCTACAAATAATTGCTTATTATACAGGATGCGCCAGAACTCGCGCCCCAGAGAAAAATTTCAAATAAGGTAAGATACCAGGAACATGAAAAAAATGTTTAAAAAATTCTATCTGTCAAATACTGATGATCTTGTATATGTTTTTTTACAATTATTTAGTAAAGGGACAAAAATTTTGCCAATAAAAGCCACAAATAACATTGAACAGAGTTACAATTTAAGATACAGCTTCCTTGTTTCCTCTTTTAATAGCCTATAGCAAAAAAACTTGGAAAATTATTTTTCCAACAGAAATAAATAGAGTCAAACTGCAAACTTTCAACCCTCATAACTTCGAAATTTTTATAGATAAATTTTTTTACCATTTTTTCCATGTTCCTGGTATCTTACCTTATATGGCATTTTCTCTGGGGCTCGAGTTCTGGCGCAGGGTAGATAAAAATGTACCTAAAACTTATTCACAAGGGAGAAAAGAACATTTTATGCTTTTTTTCTATTGTGATTTTACTAATACTAAAGCGACAAACTAATCATTATTTCAATAAAGCGCAGCAAGAGTGTTCTAATTTTAATTGGAAAAAATAATAAAGTAGACACAAATTTAATGGTATTTTTTTTCTAAAATGTTTAAATGTGAATATTTTTCTGTCTTTTTATATTTTTTTGTGTGTGATACTTAATTTTCATAAGAGCTAAATTTTGATTTTCTCTTATTTAAAATATCGTTGAATGTTTTAATATTTTTTAAGTAGGGAATTAATTATTGCAGATTACAACATTTCTGTCTGGTGACACCTAAAATATTAACTATGACAAAGCTAACGCATTTTAGCCACCATTTCTTATAAAGTATTACAAGTCTCGAGGCAAGTGACATTAATTCCCGTTCTCTTTCTTATAACAATATTAATGGAAGAAGGGATTTACCCAGCTTTTCGTTCTGACACTTGTCATTTATTGATATGCATTTTACAATGGATGTGAATACAAAAGAGCTAATTGTTTTTAAAATGAAAATTCTCAAAATACGTGACTTGTTTATTTATGTCGATCGGACAAAATGACAAAGTGTTTGCAAATACGACAAAAGCAAATGCATTGCAGCACAACTTCAACACTTGAATAATTTCAAGTTGACGTTCAATACGTTTTTCTTGTCGCATGGCATAACAAACACTCCACGTGGATCATCCGTTTTATTTATAAATTTTTCAGCCACCGCTTCATCATATTTTATAGCTTAACGCAGTAACTTGTTCAAGGTATTTTAATAAAGTTACCACAAAAGTTGTTGCAAAGTAGCAAAGTTTCAGCCTAAGCGGTATTCGATCTTCTCTTCTGATAATAATTTAATACCTAACATTGATTTTTCTTAAAAGTGGACGCAGAGTCGGTAATTCATTTCAACAAAAGAAACTGTTGAATTGAGGCACTTCTTTCAAGTACACTCAACGAAAAGTAAAAGCCATA